TCCTTCCGTACGGGCATGCGAATGTGTGCAAATGAGGGCGGGAAAATTGGGCAGTGTGCTCTCAAAGATATCCACCTAATCTGGCACCTGTACATATCACGCTGACACAGGCACTCGCTACACGGAGTGAAAAGTATGCTGTCGTTTCGTACCATCCAATATGGTTGATGTATTCACGGCACCCAGTCCACGTTCCAAAACCATCCAATAATTCCAAAACAGACCAGTATTTTCAGCGAGACTACACGGACACTGCTTTTGTCCAAATATGAGATAGTGTATCTGTCTCAAAAGGTATGCTCTCGGGGCATATTCGGATGTTTGAGAGTGATGAATTGAACACCTTTAAAGCTATAATAATAATAATAATAATAATAATAATAATAATAATAATAATAATAATAATAATAATAATAATAATAATAATAATAATAATAATAATAATAATAATAATAATTAACGAACGTCAGGTCAGAGCTACAATACAAAATTGGCCTGCCAAAGCCTCGTTGGGCTTTAATGCAACCGATAAAGGAATTGTTTCAGCCAACACCAAACTAACGAAAAAATGCAACTAAAGTGCACTACAAAGAATGCAAGCGATGTTGCTTTTTACCTGTATTGTATTGGACTGCTTAATTTAGTTACTCTTTTGCGCTGTCTTATGTTGCTTTACTTTGCAAATTTTTCGGAGTCTCCGGAGTATTCTAAAACAACTAATGCATGGTACCATATAGTACTATGTGTCTCCTTTGTCTCTTATTTCTCGTCGTAATGCTGTTACGCCATCTGTGTTTAAGCGCTGAAACGCAACAATAACGTGCTAAAGGGTCTACGTTGACTTGCCGCGCCATCTCTGTTTGAATACAAAAACCAAACAAGGTCAAAACGACCTCCGAGATGCCTTCGTGGTCTGCACACTCTACTACCACGGAGGTCATGCTGCCATGACAATGGGCTTCATCTGGAGACCTGAAGGGCGCGTCTGAAATTCTGTCTTTTCTTTTTTTCTTTTTCCGCTCCTTGCCGCAACAATAAAACGTATTTTGCACTCCTAAATCCACGTTTTTTCTGAAGCCAGAATTCAGCGAATGAAGCCGTGTGCGATTAAAGAATTTGTGTGCACCACGTGAGCGTGTTCTTCCCGCTATCGTATTTCTCTGCTGCTTGACATCGCAACAAGGACAAATATCTAATGCGAATGAGAACTACCCGCACTGCATGTTTATATTACCTTTCTGAGAATGTAACCGGCTGACAGTAAATCCATCAGAAATTTTATAGCTTCATGATATGGACAGTGAGTGGGAACATTTGTTATACCGAAATGAACGCCGAATATTCCCGAGAAATATTGCAACAAAGATAAGTTCGCGAAATAAATGCAGGAATAAAACGTGCGAATGAATCATGTAATTGCTTCAACTATTTTAGTGACGCATTTTTATACGTATACATGTACTGGTCCTTCTTTTCCACGCAATGACGGGAGAAAATTATTGTCGATTATAATCATGCACTATTTAGCCCAAAAGCAAGCACTGCCGATTATTCGGTATCTTTAAATACCAAAACTTGCTACCTTCGAGCGACGACCAACTCGCATGCGCTTTTCATCTATAAGTGATCATTGCCGTTGGCCCGGCGTCTGGGCTAATTCTATTCCACTGTCATAATTCACCGAAATTTCTTCTTTCTACCGTAAGAGAATTTCGGTAAATCTAAAGGTGCCCACTCGAGTTTAGAGATAAAAGAAAAAAATCATTTCTGGTGTCATTTTTCAAAACCTAGAGAAAATGACGCGCGAGTTTTTCGACGCAAGAGTGCCAACGATGCTCTTTCTGCCACCCGCTCGAGGTGGCGCGTTGTGAAATTTACACTTGATATAAAATAAAATCCTAGTCTACCACAGACTTAACCAACAGGCTACCACCATTGATATACCAGCGAACTAATCCCATTTAGCCACCGTTATAGAGTCCCTGTAAATGCTCAACGTTCAGCGCACTCTCGTCAGTGATACAGGAAACGAGCCCGCCCACTTTTGGTATTCGTATTCCGAATACGCGCTAGCTGGCGCTACCTGTAGTTTACCTCTCTACGTTTTCGACGACACTCCAGGGCGAAAACAACGGCGAGCCTACGCTGGAGACTCCAGTATTCTTTGTTATACTTGCTTGGTCACCTAGCAATTATCGTAGTATAGACCAACGTTTAGAGAACTTGTTCAGTTGCCAAACTCTCCGCCTCGGCCATACATTGAAAGCGGTGCCAAACTTACTTCCGGTCCAAGTGGTGCAACAGGCTCCTCGTAGCAGACGACGAAGCTGGAGCCAACGCCTCCTCTAGGAAGATGCCTGCCGCATGAGAAAAAAAACAAACAGCTGCCTCACCCTTTCTCTCCTTCATTTTAAAAATGTTCTCGGTCGCCAGCGTCAGTTGTGGCAAACAGTGCAACAACGCAACATTTTGCATAGCCTCCAAAATTGTGATGCATAGTTGCAGATCTCGAACAACTCTCGACTGACGCGTCCCTATGGGCCGCAGATGGAGAACGCTTAGCTGGTACCGCCCGTCGCCGTGATAAAAGTGTCGGTCGCGAGCGCCACCGCGCGGAGTTCGTTTAAAACTGAAGGCAGGCCAACTCCGCTGGGAGCGCGAGCCATTCCTCAGACATCTTTCTAGAGGAGGCGTTGCTGCTTGGTTCGCAGTACTCTCGTCCTTGCCTGAAACAGTAGAGAACTACCCCGAGTATTATCATAGATCCTTTCCTTGTCGATTTCCTGCTTAAAAGTTCGATAGATCTCTAGTGCGGACTTCTTAATCATGCCCATTTTCCACATTTCAGTCTCCGTTTCCTTCACTTTCTTCTTAACCGATAGTTCTTTTTGGTTTGGCCACCTGCTGTTTTCTAAGTATTTACCAGTCAACTTCCTGGTTCGCTTCCTCCATTTTGTAGCGAACATGGCGTGTGCAGCTGCTATCCGCGCAATAATTGAATTGCTTGAAAACGCAAGGATGAGAACGACTAGTTTTTTTTTTCGTTAGGTAATCGTGAAGGTTTAATACATAAGGAGGGATGTCTGAAAAGCCTTATGTAGTGTTCTATGTTGTGCTAACATATAGCAGGCACACGGTGATCGGTAGACGGTGATCGGCACCCGGTGATCGAGTTGAGCGCGACAGGCATTAGAGTTGTTCATTGCCTAAGCGACCATTTCTGACAACAATTGTTTTTTAACTAATGGGGACAACTCCAAAGGCTCTTGTAGGTTCTGTGAAAATACGTAACGGCAGAACTTCGTTGGAGCTGCGCGAATCATGAGGCAGGATCTGCTCGCAACGTTTGCATTTACTCATTACAGTTTCTGTTAAAGGATGAAAAGAAAACGTCCAAAAAACATTCCTTAACAGACCAATTAAGTGGCATTGCACATTTGCAGATATCCTCCCTCGCAAGCGCACATGACCAAGCTAAGCGTGTGTCACGACACCTTTCGGTAGCGAGTCGGGACCTGATTTTTTTCGCTGGCTCATCTTCGCAAGATGCCGAAAGGAGCCAATCGGTCTCGAGAGCTCCAGCTTCGAAGAAGTATGCCGTTTATATTTAAGTTAATACTTCACAGTTGCTGCTTCTTTCACAGCCTGCGGCTACATATTGAGTAACTCAACACGCACGAGCAGATCTGTTGGCTGCGAAAGCGCGGTGATATTGTAAGATCTAGATGCATATGCAACATGCCCATTTGGTCGCGGGTTCAATACCGGCTCCGACGGTCGAATTTTGATAGAAGAGAAGTGTGAGAGGCCCGTGCACTGTGCAGCGTCAGTGCACGTTGAAGAACACCAGATGGCCAAAACTTCAGCCACCCACCATTATTCATCATCATCATCATCATCCTGACTACGTACACTGCAGGACAAAGGCCCCTCCCATGTTCCGCCAGTTAACCCTGTCCTGTGCTTGTTGCTGCCAATTTATACCCGCAAGCTTCTTAATCTCATCCGCCCACCTAACCTTCTGTCTCCCCCTAACCCGCTTGCCTTCTCTTGGAATCCAGTTAGTTACCCTTAGCGACCAGCGGTTATCCTGTCTACGCGCTACATGCCCGGTCCATGTCCATTTCTTCTTTATTTCAGCTATGCTATCCTTAACCCCCGTTCGTTCCCTAATCCACTCTGCTCTCTTCTTGTCTCTTAAGGTTACACCTACCATTTTTCTTTCCATTGCTCGCTGCGTTGTCCTCAATTTAAGCTGAACCCTCTTTGTAAGTCTCCAGGTTTCTGCTCCGTAGCTAAGTACTGGCAAGATACAGCTGTTATATACCTTCCTCTTGAGGGGTAGTGGCAATCTACCTGTCAGAATTTGAGAGTGCTTACCAAATGTGCTCCAGCCCATTCTTATTCTTCTAGTTACTTCAATTTCGTGGTTCGGCTCCGCGGTTATTACCTACCCTAAGTTTCCTGCCCTCCTATTACCTGCCCTACTTTCGTTTTCCACCATTATTACGAAACCCTAGATGCCATTATATGTACAATTCGTATTAAGTGCCAGAAACTCCAAGAAGACTAGGTAACATCGCTAACGTTATTGTGCAGATTGGCTATGCGGTACTCTCGCAAGCACATGACTAAATCAACCCAAAATCAAACCTCGCAAGCACACGACTAAGTGCCCCTTCGATAACGACGAGGCCCCGTCGGGACCTAATTTTTTCGCTGGCTCATTTGCGCAAGTTGCGGGATGGAGCTCATTGAGGTCGGGAAGTTCACATGCGCACAAATGTTTCAGCTTATAAAGTCTGGGTTAATATTTCAAAGCAGCTGCTATCTCCCCCGCAGCCTGGGCACAGAGGGTCAACGCACACGAGCGATTCTGTCAGTTCTGAAAGCATGGCTGTCAGATTTAAATGTCTCGGCGAAACACACATGCGCAATAACACTCACAGACATATCCTCCGCGACGATGACACATTTTTTAATGACTAGTGTGCACTCTTCAGCCTTTATTGTTCAAAAGGCCACAAAAAGAGTTTCATCAGAGCTGCCAGTAGACAGTTATAGTTTACCGTTAGCGTGATAGCGGGGTTGAGGCAATGGCGTTACCACGCAGAAAACGTCCGTTGCGGAGAGGGTCGTGTAGTTTAACGGGATGGCGTTTACGTTGTTTACGAACACCAGGTGGGAGGGTGGCGCCACCTATCGGGGGTTGATAAGATAAAGATCAGTGAAAAGAAAAGAAGACGAGATGTTAGCCGGTATCACCTCGCGAAGCATTGTTACAAGTTTATTTTAATAATAATAAAAGTAGCTGAATACCAACCGCGTACGAAAATGTATGTTGCTCATAGGTCTACATCGAGCTTCTAGTTAGGCCTAAAGACGTTCCGAAATAAGAAGCTATCTCAAAAATTACGCTAGCGCATTCAAAATACTGGGTCAACAAAGCTAAGTGAAGGCAAGCGAAGGCATATCAAACAGTTGTTTGTTGCGAACGAAGTGTATCTTTCAACAATTAAGCCAAAATCACTTCGAAGTGGGCGTTCCAAAAGCGTCGCTATGTTTGCGTGCACTACGTACACCATGCTAACATGGTAACGTAAAATCTGAAAAATTGTGAGGGTACGGTAAGCGATACGGGTAACGTACGTATCTGCGCATGCACACTTCGATCCCACTATCACGGTAAGCTCGTTATCCTGCTAAGCCCGGTATACTATAATTGTCTAATGCCGCACTAACTCGCAAACGGCAAACGAACACTTCCAATATTATTCAAAGTGTGTGCAACGCTTGCCGTATCCGCACACTTTTCAGGCTCACGTGGCACTTTAACACACTTCAAACATTGTTCTTCGACCATCCTCCCTCGATCTGTTTTTTTTTTTTTTTTTGTGGCTCCGAAGGTGTCATGGGAGGTTCAAAAAAATGTAGGCACGGTTTCCTGCTCAAGACTCCACTTCATTTCCGCGAGCGTTTTCGACATTTTCCCCATCGACAACGTTGCTGTAAGTCTTCAACGTGTCCTCGGCATGAAAATGCACATCGCAGTGTTATGATTTATCTGGCACCCTTTTGTCCATACAGGGAATAGCGCGATCCCACATGGCACGGAGAGTCAGATCACGTGGAGCCCAGAAGTGTCGCGGGCACCTGCTAGCGCTACAGCCGCTTGTGCATACAAGCACACAGGTCAGCATTTCAAACGAACAAACATCCAGACTACAGAGAACACAACAGCACGCAAAATATTTTCATTGCGCCTACTGTAACACACGAACAAAACGTAACCGCAGCCGAACACACACTCGATCCGGCACTCGTTGCTGGACTGACGGAAGCCGTTTGCGACAGCAGCGCCCCTTCCAGCCACCGCTTGCGGCAGCGCCACGTAACACCGGCAAGTTTTCAAGCTGAACAGGTTCTATTAACGTTGGTCTAAACTGAGTAATTATTGCCTTAACGTTTCCCACTCGCTATTTTTCTGCCTGGATAAATGTCATGACGCGCTGAGATGCTCGAGCCCATCTAACGGAAGTTCTTGGCGAGCAGCAAGAAATTTTCGAAACTGTATGGCGATAATTGTCCATTACCTTTGTGTGACAAGTTTAATACCAAACGGTGTAAGCTGCACTTACATAAAATAGACACCTGCTCGAAAACAATCACTAGCCTGTGGTCATCTGCACAACCGGACGTCTGGGAGGAAGCAGAATGAGACGCATTGAGCCTACCGACATCTGAGTCACGGATTCGTGCGCGCGAACAATTGATAGCAGGAACACGACCGGAAACGTAGAAATGAAAACAACGTACCACATCGGCATGGTTGCCTGCACAAGGAAAAGTAGAAGGGACGCAGACCTTTGTGAATTATGCCGCTGAAAGAATGCACGGTTGCACAACACAGGCATTCTGCAATAAAATGGCACATTGAGCGAGTTGGTACATCTTCAACCTGCACGAAACGTAGCGCGCATAGGCACGACAGATGAAAGAGAAGGAAACTGGTCGAAAGAGAAAAAGCAAACACCTGCAGAGTCACTCTGCCGTATGTGATGCTTACTTACAAGAGATAAACTGGCATATACCAACACTTTATCAACGCAGTCATCAGTAGTATTTCCAACTGCGCAGGAAGTAAGCGCTATGGTACTTCGTGAAATGCGCCCATTTGCACTTTATTTAGAAGATTCTGACGCGATAAAATCTGCTCAAAAAATGTTTAAACGTTTTCTAAATGCCGCAAACACAGCTTCATGTGATATGCCAGAGTTCACTTACGTTGAGTGAACACGTGCCATTGATAGCCGTTTTGTGAAGTGACATTATTCAGGGCGTTGGCAGCAAGCAGCATCTGAGTCAACTCCGAGCGACATGCCTGAGTAACATGGTGGAGGGCACATGAAAGCCATAGAAGCAAGTCTCCGGAGTGGTGTCAGTGTCGATATGCGCCTAACCTATTCTACCCCCTTCTCCCCTATTTCCTTCTTCCATGTTGCCGCTCATACGCAATACTATGCAACAGGCTGCATGTAGTTTTCAAAGTAGAGCACAGCGGTCTGGGACATGCAACTCTTCGTCCCATTTATGACAGGTGCAAATTACTTTAGAGGCGAAAGTTTCCCGCGATGAAATGTGAAAAGCAGACATTTGGGTGGCTGAACATTAGGTGTAAAGCGCAGAATTTCCACAGTTTGACCGCATGCCGAATTGCTGTGGGTTAGATCGATGAGGTGTAGAAAATGCTTCTTCAGTATCGAAGATAAATAGGCACCCTAGGCCCGCTTTCTTGGGGTTCGATGACATATAGCGGGAGACACTCTGTTTCCGCTGCCACTCACAAGGCTGATGAGCTGGCGGGACTCCTAGACAGGTTTTCTGGCAGTCACTCTTTCCATGCGGCTTCTAGAATCCTCGTGTTTGCTGGTGATAATCTGTGACACGGTAACTGCTAGCAGGTAACCTCCCTGCAGTCTATCTATCTATCTATCTATCTATCTATCTATCTATCTATCTATCTATCTATCTATCTATCTATCTATCTATCTATCTATCTATCTATCTATCTATCTATCTATCTATCTATCTATCTATCTATCTATCTATCTATCTATCTATCTATCTATCTATCTATCTATCTATCGATCGATCGATCGATTTACAGCGTGTTTAGCATGTGACACAATCTCGAAAGGTGACTTAGGGTGTCAGAGACTTAAAGACAGAGGTGTATAGGTAGTTCTCAGACCAGCTGGCTACCCTGTGCTGGGGAAAGGGGTAAGGGGAAGAAAAGATGATAGAAGTGAGAAAATACAAAAGAAAATAAAGGCAGAAAACAAAACAGAACAATAATACGTTAGGCGACACCGTTTGAAATATATCTTTGTGGCTAATAGTTGCTCGTATACAGGAAACGCACCAACACCCTCGAAGCTTTCCGTGCCGAGGGTTGTTTCGGTCGGTGTCCTGACTCCCAAGACCTTCTCTTCTGGCAATAGGCAATTGCGAAGTCTATCGAACACCTTTGACAGTTTTCTTTGTACACTGAAGTGAGAGTGTACGGACAGAAGATGGGAGAATGTTTCCTCGCAACTACTATTATGACATGACGGGCTACTTCTGTGCGAGACGAACAAGCATTCGTGAAAGCCACTCCGAGCCACAGGCGTATAGTTCACACTACACACAGGCTGCTTAGATACTGTTATTGAAATCACGCAGAAAACCTAAGGTCTATTCCACGCAGGGTGACTCGACATACGTCACGCGTTTGTCACAAGTATTTGATGACGCATTTGTGTCACAAATGTACGAGTTAGAAATGGTCATATAGGCGGGAAAGTTACTGTTATGGATCAGGTGCTAGGTGGTCGACATTGCTTCCGGCGTGACTGCAGAATTCAGGAAAGATGTAAAGCAGTTTCTTTTCAACCTGAACTCTATATTCAAGCTTGCGACACGACACCAAGATTTAATGTGTTCGAACATTTCGCGACCAACTCAATCTTACTATCTCTACGAAAGCCGGCGTGAATGTGCGCTCACACAAATGCTACTCATGGCGAAAAAAAAAATCCCAAATAAGCACCTGGTACACCTGTTAACGCAGGGATGTGCGTCATTCCATTCAACCCACATCTGAATTACGCAGGGTGCCCCAGCCATCTCCAGCCAGGGCTGAATAATATGCCGACGCACTCCAGGATGACGTGCAGGTTGCTGAATAATGCCTGGAAAAAGTCAAGCAATTTTTTTTGTGTTCGTATTTGCCCATCGTTATGCATGCTTAAGTAACTAACTTTTGAAGCAAAGAAGCTGGGAAAAATATCGATGAGAATGTTCAAAATCAATTTGCAAGACGTCCAGTTAGACAGTTTGTTACTCATGTATTAAGCATGGGGTATTTGTCGGGCTGCTACAGATTCCCCAGGAATGCCAAACAATATCACGTGACATGATGGCTGGAAACGTGACGCTTTCGTGCCGTATTGTGGCGATCACTACCGTTCCGCGCGAAAACAACCACAGAATGGCCGGATGTTCTTCCTTAACAGGGTTGTGGAATGACGCACATTTCGCTAGCGGCAACACAGGTGAAAACCACTGAGCCTGCTTATTGTTGTAATGAACTACTGTGACGGAAACGTATCGTCTGTCTGCGAAGCGTTCGGGAGCACTGCACTCAGGGCATGCATTGTTTTTTTTTTTGTATTTGGAATCTTCTGAAGTGGCATCGTCCTGTGTATCACAGGGTACTATTTTGTGAAAGCAGAAAAACACAAACAGGTACTTAACAAATACATGGTTATAAAATGTCTGACGTTTTGCAAACTGTTGTTTTACTGTCTCACTGTGATGTTCTGATTTGTTGCCTCATGAGTGAGTTCAATAAACATACCAAATAAGGTACTTAAAAAAGTATCATGATGCACTTGAAGCAATAGTCGGCAGTATTCATTGGGTCGAGCCGTCATGGACTGTGTCGACATATTTTCATATTAACGGCACCCTAAATGAGATGGTGAATATGGAAATTCCGCTCAGCGTTTCGATTGTGACTCGTTCATATTTTGACTAATGACGACGCTCAAACAGCGTAGAAGACAAAAGTGTTTGTGGTGATCATATATTTATGCGGCATATCGCTCTAAATGTGTACACGTATACGGTGATTTTTCAGGAATGAACAAGACCGCATAGAAGTGCCGTCTCGCCACAACGGTGCCAGTATTGTATAGCTGAAAGACTCCAACAAACATCAGCGGAACAACATCCATGCATGTTTCGTTCATCATCTAACATTTATTCGATTATATGTCTACACGCCATTTAACACCCGCTAGCGCTCACATGAGATGGCGTTTTTCGAGCAGTTACTGTCTGTCTTCACGTGCTGAAGAGCGGTAACATATTCATATGTCATCCTAAAACTACAGCATATACATACGTGGCACCCGTGTTTTTTGATACCGGCTTCATACACAATCCCATATCCGTTGCACTATATCGCGGATACACATGGGGCGTCAGCGTGTTCCAGAGCTAGAACACGTGGGCGGGCTAGTTGGCTTGCATCCACGAATTATGAGTAAGCGCGAACAGACAAGCACGTAGTGACACCAACACAGCGCTACTTTCAACTATTCTTTTATTTTCGCACGAATAACTAATCATATACTGAGAGAGCGGAAATAACAGAAACAAAAAGAGCGTTTTGTAGATTCACATCGCTGAACCGAGAACGTGCACAATGCACTACCACGACAGAGCGAATATTCATGTCACTGTGCCAAATCAAGATAGCAAAACCTCTTTTTGAGAAAGTGATATACAGAAGGCTGGATAACGCTCATATTTGCTAATCTCGCCATTTCGTACACCTAGATATTCTCCCTTGTCATCCTGCCAGGTGCCTTCAATAAGATTGCCATGTTTACGAACGAGGGCTTGCATCCACAATCTCCGCAATAAAGTCCAAATGACCTGATATTCTTTTCGTGACAAATGTGGAAGGTTTTTAATTGTTCTAGACAATTAACCATGTAGTTTTTACAGTGAGGTCTCTAAAATTATAGACATATTCACGGAAGCCCTGTCCCCATTGGTGGTGACGCATGAAGTGTCCAAGGGCAATATAGGCGAATTCGATGAGGTTTTTAGGCTTGGTACTCTGCTTTTCATCACAGCGAGTTTGCTGGAGTTATGAGCCAAGATGCGATAAGCATGTCCTGCCGTTTCCTTCCGCTCATTCCAAATTTTTGAAGCGCGCCGTCGTACAATCCTGTCTTAATAACTCTCTCATGAAGTCCTGTGACAACAAGGTGGAAGGCAGTCTTGTGCTCAGGCCAAGCGCTAAGGAGAGTTAGTTACCCAGTATCTATATACGCTGGGCTCTCTCGCAGAGGACTTAAGCAGAAAGCTGAAACAATCATCTAAAGGCAACAGTGGTGGTACAGCTGAAACAGCGACCGTAGCGCCATACATGCGTGGCGTTTCGCATAATCTCAGAAAACTCGCAGGAAAGTCATGAGGGGGATGTGGTCTTTTCCGCTCCTGAACGTCTTCTAAAGTTATGTCGACTGGTTATATTCAGAAGGTAAGAGCGTGAACGCTTGTCTCCTTAATTATGGAACAAACTTTGTAAACTGTGATCGCAATGTTGTTTACGCTATTCCGCTTTCTTGTACAAGATGCCGGCAGATGTATCAATCAGAAGAAATTGAAAGAGCGTCATCATGACGTCTCGAAAAGAATATCAGGTCATTTTGAGCATTCATTAGCAGGACTATATGTGGATGCAAGCCCTCTTTCGAAAACGGGACAATCTTATTCAAGGAACCTGGTAAGACGACAAGGCGGATTACGGAGGCGTATGAAATGGCGAGAGTAGCTAATATGTGCGTTAGCCAACGTTCTGTATATCACTTTCTCAAAACGAGTTTTGCTATCTTGATTTGCCGCAGTTACATGAATATTCATTATGTCGTGGTAGTTTGACGTACACGTGTTCGGTTCAGCGATGTGAATCCGCAAAACGTTCTTTTTGTTTTTTTCCACTCGATGGGCATATAATTATCGGTTCGTGCAAAAATAAAAGATCAGTTGAAAGTATAGCGCTCTGTTCGTGTCAGTTTTCTTCTATACGCCCTTGTCTGTTCGCGATTACGCAAAATTCATGGGTGCCCCAAAAGTATACCACCGCTTTTTTTTTAAATTTTTTGTTTGCATACGTGCTACCACTAATTCTGGGTCCACTATTTCGGAAACCTTCTTTCTGATGCGAGGCACAAGTCGCCAGAAGTTTGAAAGCTTTGCGTGAATGGACATGCAATCCGGAGAAGAGCATGATCCTGTCTTTGCGGCCTGGTTCATAATACTTTTACTTTCTGGCTCGTCGCGACAGTCCGTGTTACCGGTCCACCACGAAGAGACGAGCCGGCGTGGTCAGTCATCCCTGACGCGATTTCCCGTGCTCGGTGGCAGCGACGGCGGCGATGGAATTATTGATTCAGCTCCTGTGTCGCGAGCGTACTCTGATCGTCTCTACGCGGCGCAGGTGAAAAGAGAGAGAAAAATGCGAGCCGTGGGGTGGTTCTCGGATAGGTAACTATTTATAAATCAATATGAATTGGCCCCGCTCGCATGTGACTGCTTACAACTTGCCCGCATATATGCAATATATTATTACTCCTTTTCTTTCTCCGCACCAAATTTGAGTGCCCACTCCAGTCCATCTTCTTTAGGCGGCAGAAAGCAACTCGCTTAAGAAGTTGCTAGGGAAATAAAGAAAACTCTAAATATAAACACACAACAAAAAAAGAAGGGGGGGGGGGGCAGTTGCCTTAGTACTGAAAGCTGCGCAACGCGTTGGAGCACGAGTGGTTGTGGGCCAGTAGTCCGACAGCCCAATGCAGGTGTGCGTACGTGGTGAGAGAGAGAGAAGCAGCGGCAAAAGTAGAAGTAAACATACCTGCCCTTTATTGACCACGCGATCAGGCACTATACTTTTGTCTCGTGTTTTCTGTCATTTTTCTCTTGCGAAAGTGTATAGTGGTCACCTGCCCTTGTATATTGATCGAAGGGCGTGAGTCATCACCGGTGACATTAGTTCGTCTGTGCAGGACACGCATGCACACACATGCAGTGAGGGCACTTTGTGCCGTCGGGAACTCGAGTGTTCACTAACGAATGTAGCCGCGCCTGGCGCCATGAGGTTAGCTCGATGGCGTCTCGATGGCGCTGCATGTGACTCATGATGGGCCATTTCGGTGGCTCAATGTTTGCGTTGTACATTACGATTAGTATCCAGCCAGGTTCCCCTCCTTTGTCATCGAGATCGATGTGTCTCTCGTATGACTCTCTGTATACGGAGTTTGATTAGCGTTGTGCAGGACTTCTAAGAGTAAAAATTTAATTTATTTGCAAATAGTGCAGACCCTCCTAGGGTCCACGCAGAAGTGAAATACAAACAATACAATGAGACAGTATATGGTAACACCCTGAAGAGCTTGGCATAATTGCAAGAATACACAAATAACAAGTACACAACTGGACAGTCATATCACTGCCTATATATTTTTGTTATACAACATAATTACACTGAAAAAGATTTTCAATACAAGGAAGTCACTTGAACTGCATTAATATCAAGCTATCTTGGGTATACATCACTTCTATTTGGATATCTAATAATTCACTGTGTTTCGTAAATGAATCCACCAAGGCAGCATTGCCTGCTTCTGCAAAGGACGCACTTCAACGAAAATTTGCGCGAATAAACAGAGCAGGCTTATGAACATTGAGGTGGCTAGGCGGCTGCGCATAAATTTTATTGTGATTCGCCCGGGCTGCAACTTTGGAAGGATGCTAAAGATAACGTTCCTGCGATCACTTTAAGTTCTTACGGTATAGTTGGTCGATAAATTTCAGCTCGGAGGCGCTGCTCCAGTTTTTGTTGGCTCGCCTTTTTGCGTAGACTTGTTGTCGAGAGTAAGCACCGAGAGTGTCACGACACCGTGACAATATATAAAGTGCAGAGCTCGATTTCGAACCATCGATTTTATTTGTCAAATATTGTAGTCCGGGGCTCCAAATATTGTCGGCGTACTCCAATTTTGTTCCCTCTAGTGCTTTATATCCTTTCAATTTTACCGTGGTAGGAGTATCAGGCAGTTTTCTCTACAAAAAAGGACAATTTCTTCAGTACACCTCTACACACGTTTTCAACATACAATTCCCCGTTCAGGTTACTGGTGAGTGTGACTCCTGGATACCGAACACGATCTCTCGTGATGCTATCATTTCTTAAAGAATGCTCAACAAAACGCAGTGTTAAGGGTACGCTGAGCAATCGGCGAATGAACTGAGGGTTTTCCACGATTTGTTCTAGCAAAACTCCATTCCTGCGTTCTCCAAATTACGCAAGCACGTGCACCCAGAACGAAATAGTGACAAACATAACGCGCTACCCTGAGCGATAGCGTGACTGCCATGTAGAGGAGAGTTTCGCGCTCTGCGTAACTCCACACATGCTTGCTTTTTAAGCGTTCTTTTTGGAGGCTTGAATGACGACTTTGCAGGTCCGGAAGCACCCTCGTCTTCTGCGTCGGTCAAGACACGGCAGAGGGACAGAGACGAAGGCGGGCGAGGCTTTCGCTGGCCGATTCCCACGAAACACCCCGTCGGAAGCGCTCCGAGTGCGAAAGCGTGTTAACTCTGCCTGCGCCTTCTCGGCGGCGAGCAGATGTTTTTCACGACATCGTTTCCAGACGGCGCCACTCGTCTCTCCTCCGTGCCGAACAGGTGGCAACTGACTGCTCAAAAGGTTCCGTAGCCGGCTCTGCTTTCCCGCTGCCTGTGCGTTTCCTCGTGCTACGCGGACCGTCCTCGAGGGTTCGCACATTTCTGGCCGCCTCGCTCTCCATATTTTCCTTCGTCATCGCCGTTTCTACGCGAACAGACCCTCCTGTTTCTCCCCCACCACGCAGAGGCGCAGGAAAAGGCCTCTCTCTTCCCGCCCTGTGGCCCCCTCTCGCGTCACGTGACTCACAGGTACGCAGATCACGTGGCCGGTTCCATCTTGCTTCTCGCGTATTTACTTTGCTACCCTCAGCAGTACGCTTTGCGCTCTCTCGTGCGAGAGTAGGAAACTCCAACTTGTACGCCCTGCTTGTACGCGAGTGAGAGAGAAAGAGAGAGAAGGCATGCTTCGCCGGTGAGTCGGCTTCCAGCACAACGACGACGCGCCACCACCCCTCGACGTGCACAGCCGCGTCAACAACGGCCGTTTTGCCGCTTCTGCCAGTGCTTCAGCGGCGTGTACAATCTGCCGGCCAGCATCCCAGCGCTGTGGGACGTGAAAACGAACGAAACTGAACCTTGTGTGCCATGGCTCAAGTCATCTTCTTCGTTGCTGCGCTGGTGTCTCTAGGTGAGTTCCAGTCACTGTGCCAGAAGGAAGAGTCGCGGACAGCCATTGTGGCAGCGATGCGGCCACGAGTGAATTCGGTTTTCGCGGCAGGAAGGAGCAGGGCCCTTCCTGTCCGCCTCCTCCTCTCCCACTTTTGAAAAGCGTTTGTGAGTCCTCCCGGTGAAGAACCGCGGCCAGGGGGGACAAAGAGGCCCCTAGCCTTGCGGCCGAAATCCTTGCTTTTCTGCGATTTTCTGGCAACGGTTTGGAATGCGCGCCTTGCGAGCGCTGTGCGCGCAACCCCCGGCTATTTCAAAATGTTCTGCGGTCCTTTCAATATAATCTCGCGCCGGTGTGTGTTGCCGAAGCCGCGTGTTGAGGTCGCATGGTCCGTAAACACCGGTTTGCGTAACGCAGTCTCCTGCGCTGCGATGCGTCAGATCAAGAATACACGCTACAGCATAGGCCAGATAGGTTAAACTGCAAGATCGAATCGTGCGATGAACGTTTCAAGGGAACCTACTTTTCGAGACTCGCGGTGTGTCTTGCCTAGTTTTCTCATCTCGAGCACATGACAGAACGTCATAAACTAGCCAGCACCTTGCTTATTTCCAGTGGTTTGGCACCGTTTGGAGACCTACGCGCAGCCGAACTGCTTGGTTACCAAACCGCCCCGCATGGGTAACGTACGAAACATCTGAACAAATTTTAATAATCTTGGAAGTGGTTCAGACATTCTCTTTATTTAGGCCGCCGCCTTTTCAAGTGCTGACCATCACCTGTGCTCAATTGAAAAGCCGTATTGTATTCGCCACTACTCATTGACTGCAGAAGTACCTTTACAAAATAATCACACACTATCGAAAGGGTCGGTTTCAGGTTTTATATTGTTCTTATGTTCGAACGGGGAGGGCTGAGAATGTCGCGTTTTTCTGCTAAAATGTATATTTGGGAGAAATAGGTGCTTTTTTCTGCTTATTGGCTTAATGAATGTGTGGTTACATTTGTGACTGATGCGCGCGACAATTAAAATCATGTACCAGCGTTTGTAGTAAAGAAAGTTTCTGTTTGAGTTAGCACCCTCACTCATTGATTGATTGATTGATATATGGGGTTTAACGTCCCAAAACCACCATATGATTATGAGAGACGCCGTAGTGGAGGGCTCCGGAAATTTCGACCACCTGGGGTTCTTTAACGTGCACCCAAATCTGAGCACACGGGCCTACAACATTTCCGCCTCCATTGGAAATGCAGCCGCCGCAGCCGGGATTTGAACCCGCGACCTGCGGGTCAGCAGCCCAGTACCTTAGCCACTAGACCACCACGGCGGGGCTAGCACCCTCACTCAGAAACACATGTAACTATACTGCAGGCATTCATTAAGCACATCTACTTGCAAATCTACTTGCATAGAAACCTTGCAAATCATTTGACTACCTCACCTGGCCGTTTCTTGTTTGGCAGAAAGCAGTGTATATACATAAAAAAAAACTAAATGAACGAATCCAACAAAAGCCTAATTATTGGTATTATATTTTTAAGTTTGTTCGGAATGTATTTTCTTTTTGCTAATAAAGAGAAGTGAGTAAAACTAGGGGCGCTGAAGGATATGCTTTTCGAGGGGATCGACGCTTCTCGCTATTTGAAGAGCCTATGTCTACATACCAGACAATGTGCATGTTGAGTATCTGCGTAACCCACATCGTTGTCTGCTGTGCTTTATTACCGGCTTCCACGTCGCGCTTTCGCAACCAAATGAAGATCATAACAGCTAGCAATTCGCAATTCTAGAAAACGCTCCTTGTGCTGACAACACTGATGGAAAAAACAAAGATGGCTACGCGTAACAGGGTCAACTTTCACTTGGCTCTGTGCTGAAGTTTCTTGATTGTGGCGTCAGATCGCGTTGCTTAGTGGAAGGCGAGAAGGTGCTGGCCGCTTCATTCTCATCGCCATTAAGAATTTCACTGGAAAAACAGCGGAAATAGTGGCGCTGTGCTCACAAACATCGAGCTTGTCTAGCGATTCCGAGGTTGAAGAATGCAAATGCTGATGTCTAGTGGGCCTCTCGAAAGGGTGCTAGCACTTAAGCGTTGCGTCGCCCCGCTGCTACAGGCGAGGCCATAACAGTTATCAAGCAACTCGTGCTGCCGATTGCATGTATTCCATAAAGTTTCGTTGTCCCGTGAAAAAGCTGAATACGCATGCCTTCATTTTATTGCAAAACGGATTTATGCCTGGGCCAGTGTATCTTGAGAGAAGGCGAATCGTAGTTTCGATTGTAATACGAGTGCTCCTTTCTTTTCGTCTGCTGGTCAATATTATTAGTTTTATAATAAATAAGGTCGTGTACTTCCGAACAATAGCTTGTTCGTGTTGGCAATAGTTGATATCCAGAGCGCGCGCATGTGTGCGTGTATACACACACATGCGAAATCTGAAATGTTCGGGAGGAAGGATTACTGCAGTTTGATTGGAGAATGGGTAGCACTGCGACCTGCGCAGAAAACGATCATACGCGAAAAATACAGGCACACAAGTAATGCATCAAATTTCAGAAAGCGCTTGCCTATATAAACGAATCTATCTATTCCGCGCTCAGAGATGTCCGGATACTGATAAGAATGCACACGCGCAAGTAATGAAGTAATGGTAAACTCACCGAAGAGAATTAAGTCGTGTCGAGCGAATTAATTGGAACTACCGCAGTTCCCGTCAGCTTCTTTCTAATGCGCAAGTTTCTTGTTTGCGCCGTTTTCCGTCATGCGTCGTCTGCATCCTTCGGAAATTGGTAAAACGACGCGTTAATTTTCGTCTTTCCACCGCGATGCCACGCATTGCGGCACGCTGCAGTGGTCTTTGGACATCGCTTTCTTCTTTTTCGGGCACGCGTGTGGGACATGGTAAAAATGAAGGGACTATGCGGTCGCTTCCCAATGCGCGCAACGTGTTAACATATCTCCTTTCAAGATTGACCCTGTGAGAGCCGTTTCCAGGCGCGGCCTCTGGGTGGCAAGCGCTCACTTTGAGTCGCGAATAGGAACCTATGTTAGTTCTAGTTCACTGTACAGCTAGCCGAACGCGCTATGCTTCGCTGAACATAAACCAAAGCTGGGTAAACGCCCTCTAGCCGCCACAGCTTCTGCTCTTTGCGCAAAGCAATGCCTGCGCTGAGTTCGCTCTTTGCGCAATGCAGCCGTATGCAGCGTTCGGAAAATGCAGCGTGTCAACGCCGTGTTCAAGCAAACGCTGTTCCAACAACAAAACAGCAAATTGCTTTCGCTGAAGGCCGGTGGTTACTCGCACTATCTTAAATATTGTTTTCCTCTGGAGCGCTAAGCTGCGTTATCTTGCGCTATGATACCTGAATTTATCACATTGTAATTCACGATATGACAAACTTGAGGAAAAATCGCGCTTCGCCTGGTTTTCGTAAAACATATTCAAGATGCAAAGTATAGTATACAAAAGTATACAAAAGCGTAATACGTGAAAACGAACTCCACATTTTATACGTATTGAGATTTTCAAGTAAGAGAATTGCTTTTTAGCACTACACGGTGTTTCTTGATCCTCTCTTACTGTTCACATCATGTCATTACCCAGCACCGATGATGTTCGAATCTTATTTAAGAACAATAATTTAAGTCGAGAGCAAAATTGTACTGAGGGAATCAAGTGAATCGACCATGTGGGGGTTTCATACAATTATTAACTTACATAGCTGCCAGAACTTGATTCAAATCCACTTGTTTAAGATGGCAACGTGTGCTCTATACTTGGTTATTATGTACCGTGAAGACGGCATTGTCCTGTCTCATTCGTTGCCGTGCATTCGGCGAGTGTCAATGGCCTATGCATGGGTGGATATAGAATGTATGCTTCATTGTTGTTATTTCCGTTTGAGCGTTCGAGCCGCATCTGCCTGCCATGCCACGTTCGTATTCAAGTCTTATGATTTGGGAGTGTTCGCAGCTTCTAAACGTATGCCTAGAAAACACATATGCCTGCAAGCGCCTGTCCCTCTAATGAGTACCCCTCCGCGATAGTCGTTGCGGTTGCGGTGCTCGATTTCTCATGCAAAGGTCGCGACATCGAATCCCCTCCATAGCGGCCACATTTCGGTCGAGGCTAAATGCTTGAGGCCCGCGTTCTTGGGCTTATGTGCACCACGTGAAAGAAACTCCGAGTAGTTGAAGTTTCCCTAGATCTTTGCCAAGAGGTCTCTCACAATCACATCGGGGTTGCGCAACTTAAAAGAACAATTATTATTATTAATATTATTATTATTATTATTATTATTCCTCTATCAGCTTATTTGCTATTTATGTATGCAATGAAAATCTGCATTCGGAAAGAGCACACCCTTCAAAACGCCAATTAAACGCACACATTCTCGAAGTGCGGTTGAGGACGGCACTGTGACCACATTTGGTTACTAATACGCTGCCTTGGCTGCAGCAACTGAAATTTTCCATTAACTGAGACAGCTATCAAACAGTCGCCCCTGCAAAGGGCAAGCCCGTCAAAGAAATGCCATTTCCAAGTATTACAACAAATAAATTGCTCCAAGACACATCTCGCCGTTCACATCTTTTTGCGGTCGTTAAAACCAAAAGAAATCCGCATCGGAAGTCTGGGGTTTGTCTCTGAAGTGTACATGACCATAGTCTGCAGTGATCGAAACTCAACATTTGTCACAGCTGAAGGGAGCTAAAGAAGGATTTCGTTTGACCTGACTTAATAAGGGCCTACTATCTAGGTGGTACTCTGGTTGTGAGGCCTGGATGTTAACACGAAAGAGTTGGGTTTGATCGTGCTCGTCGGGGGAACATTTCGAAGGAGCCGAAGTGCTCGTGTACTTAGATATTGGTTATTCGAAGTAAAATAAGATAATTCCTGGTGTTCGCAACCTTCTGAGCTCCACACTGTATTATGCCGCATAATTATATTGGAGTTTCATATCGTAGAAACCCAGAAGTAGTAAAATTGGTTTATCAAAGCCGTAATTTTCCTTC